TTTTTTTTTTTTTTTTGTCTTTTTGAGACAGAGTCTCGCTTCAGGCTGGCCTTGAGCTCACTTTCTAGTCCAGGCTGGTCTCAAACTCTCAAGGATCCTCTCCCCAAGCCTCTGAGTGCTGGGATTACAGGCATGCACCACTACGCCCAACTTCTCAGTTGTTCTTGTAAAGGAAGTTTTTGTAAGTTTCTCTAATTCTGCCCTCTGGAAAAAAGGCCCTTCTGCAGTTCTGCTTGGCAGATTTCTTTTCTTTGAGAAAAAGTTACAATGCCTGCTCTTGAAGCATGACTTATCCTCTTTCCTGTTCTACTACTGTCCAAAAGATATTCCTCCAATTTTGTGCTCATCTTGCTTTCTCCCATTAGATACTGTAATGTGCTCTGAGAGGCAAGGGATGAAGTAACCCGTCCAAACTATTATCTCTGAAGAGGTGGAGTTCTCTGAGATCACAGGATGCAAACTGGCGTAGGAGTAAAGCTGTGCTGGTGGAGTTCATTCAAGGATGGACCATTGGCCCATTTATTGTAAAGATATAATATTCACATAGATGACTGACATAGCGAACAGATTGCAAATTTTGACAGACACAGTTGTGCAGCTCTTATGTGGCCTTTTAATACAGATAAAATTCTGTATATATTGAAATATACCAAGTTAGTATTTGTAAGTGTATCAGTGCATCCTTTTTACTATGAGCTTAATGAAATAGTCAAAATATTCCGTGGAAACTATTTCTGAGTGTTAACTTAATGATGTGGAAAGGTTAATTAAGGGAAAAGTCTTAATTTTCATAGTTAAAATAAAGCCATTTACTTCAGACTATTTGGCTTTAGAGTTGCCTTAATTTAAAGCTAGGATAGGGAACCTGTTACTAAAAGAGACAGTTCCTTCTAAATCCTGAAGGAAAAGACCCAGTAGTTAGCAGTTTTCTGATGGTAGGTGAAGCTCATTTCCCTGTAAGTTCTCAGATGTTCTAATTCTGTCCTCTGAAGATAAAGAATAAATCAGACCTCTTGTTATATGAATCCTCTTTGTCTTTTCGAAGCTAGACATCCCACTCCTACCACATGTGGTGGCAGTTGCCAGAGCTCTCAGGACCCTGGACCAGGCCTGCTGCACACTACAGAATTGCTGAGACACAGTCAATTCTTTACTGGAAAAGGGGCCATCTAACACAATGGAGGATATTTGCATCTCAGTAGGAACACTCAAGAAAATATTGCAAATAAATACAGAAGAACACAGCTTAGATAGTAATATTGTGAAGATGATAGGAAACTGCATGCAGATATTTGGGTGGGAGTTGTTCTTCTATGGGTCAGGTGCTAACAGTTCTACTTCCATAATGAGGTAGAGTCTGGAGCACTAGCTGACTTGTGTGAACTAGAAGGACTAATGTGACTAATGTGATGTCTTGGTTACTTTTTTCTCGCTGCTGGGACAAAATACCTGACACCCAAAATGAAGGAAGGAAAGGTTTGTTTCGCTTACAGTTTGTGGAAGTTTCAATCCGTACTTGGCAGATTATAAGGCAGAGTGGCACGTGGCAGAGGGCTGCATCTCAGGGCGGCAGCACACAGCTAAGCCGCAAGCACCCACCAGGGCCGAATGGGGGAGGAATGCCCCAAGCACTCTTTTCCTCTCCCTTACATATGCAAACTATCCACTCCAGGGCGGGTGCAGCTCTCACACCCATATTCAAACTCTAAAAGCCTGCCCCATGTCCGCATGAGGCACTGGGGGGACACACAGCCATAAACCATAACATGTGACAAAGGTACTACAAAAGGACTTGTGGCCTTTTATAAGGCCAAAAATAGAGGTTAAGCTGTTGCTGAAGTCATGCTGAACACATGACTTGCAGTTAGCAGAAAAGTGAAGGTGTTGCTTTTCTCCTCTGGAGCACCAGGTGACGTAAAGAGCACATCCTCGTGGAGCACACACGTGCGCCAAGACCTGGGTGAAGTGTTGTTGACTTAGGTTAAAGTTATGCTGGTACGGAGGAGGGTCCATGGAGAGCTGAGGGAAAGGTGGCCTCAGGAGGCCATAAGTATTGATATACGTGCTGCTGTATTTGACAGAAAGGACAGAGAAGGAAGAGCTAACGTGAAGACCATCTGTTCTTAATTTATCCATCCAGTAAACGTGTAGGCACCTTGATAAGCCTGGTAATACAAGAAAACATGGCTTGGCCCCTGCCCTGGGAGGCTGCAGGGTGCAGCAAGGTCACAGTGCGGAGTGGGGCAGGAGCATCTGTGGGTACGCCAGCCACTCAGTGGTTTGCCTGGCCAGGGCACGTACCGTTGGTCCAGTTTTCCACACCTTCAGTCTGTCCTTATTATTTTAAAAAGTCATACTTTGCAGGAGTTTAAAAGAAACCTAAGGGAATCCTGTGGTTTCTTATCTTCTAAAAGGGTGGCCCGTGGATTTGGCTGGGCGTCATGAGTGTGTCCCATATCATGCAGGTTCTCTCCAGAAATGGGCTGCATCCCAGGCCAGTTCCATCTGAACCTGCCTTGTAATTATTCCTTCCAGGTGATTCTTCTTCTCATTACAGCTGGACAGACACTCATCCAGTTTCCCTTTTCCCCTAAGTGTTTAGAGGTCAAGGGAGTGAAGCAAGATTGTGCCCTCAGGCCCTAGCACAGCAGCAGGGCCAGCAGGAGAGCGCAGCTGCTCTGCTTACGGGAGGAAGAGTCTTGCAGCTTCCTGGGATACCTCTGTTGTTCCCCTCCATTTCGTTCTTCACTGTAACTCTTCCGTTGGATGCCCTCAGTGTTTCACATAAGATTTTCAGTTTCTCCCTAAATTTTTCTGCTGAACCAGAGACTGCTATAGTGTGCCACACTGTACATCAAGAAGAATGAACATTTTTATTTACTTGTAATTTGCGGAGAATTTTTGAATTCTAATTTTTTTGTACTTGCTCTTCAGAACTTTCCTTGAATTCAGTAAGACTCCTGTATTTGGTAAGGGTGAGGAATAATCCATGATGTGAGAGATTAAGATCTTCTTGCAATTGAATTTATCGTCTGTCCTGTGGGATAATTTTATTTCCAATAACAAATACTTCTACTCTTTGCATCAGCCTGATGCAAAAAAATAAGGGTTTTGTGGCAGCATTGCTGGAGAAAAAGACGTCACAGCAGCTCCTGTGTGACCTAGAACAGGGCATTTGGCTTTAGGAGTTTGTCTACAGCAGCCAGGACCTAAGTAGTGAAGGGCCTGTATTTGTGCAGGCCTTGGGCATGGAAAGATAGGGTCATAGAAGGACAAATAACATATTTGTAGGAGGACAAAATGTTATTTAAAAAGTGAATGATCACTGAGGAAGCAGTAATGGACAAAAGTCAGCATCACCATCTTTTAAGTCACTTCCTTCTTCTGAGAGGTTTATTATTCTCTTTCAAATATTTTCTTTTATTTTTGATGCTGAAATATGCTTGAGAGTTACAACCATAATCTCCATGAATAACAGACCTTTATAAATTATGAAATAAAATGTTTTTGTTTTGTTTTTCTTGCTCCTATACTTTTTTTTTCTTTTTTTCAAGTCACTGTCTCATCTTTCTAACAATTCTGATTTCATTGAAACCATAGTAATTATGTCACTTCTTGGTTTTGGAGATAATTTGATTAAACATTGTATTTTGCATATTGTATCTTATTTTCTGTTGATAGTATATAGAAACAAATTAATATATTTTAATTAATATAGTTCAGTACTAAGTTATTTAATCCAGAACCATTTATGTATGTAATCGATGTGAATGAGATAGTTTAAATAGGATGTTATTATAATTTATCTTAAATTCATTTAGGCTGGCTTCTAGGTATAGTCTAAAAGATGTATTTTCCTTTCTTTTTAAAGGTACATTATTTTTCTCAAAATAGAACATAAAATGTTTTACATTGCTAAGAATAAAATATATATTAGATTCACAAAGTAAATACTGTTTAGCTTTTAGAAATATAAAAATTGATACTAATTTTTTATGTATTAAACATTGAATTTTGTTAATCCCATCTTTTATTATGCTTGTTTTGGAAATGTTTTACTTGTGGCAAGAAATTATTATAAAATTGTTTTAGGATTGCGTATATGAGTATTGTGGACAATGAGTTCATTTTATATGAAATATGTGTTGTTATATATATTTGCACATGTGTAAGTTATATGATTTACAGCTTTAGGGAAAAAACACAAATAGGTTATACACTGATAGTAGAGTAGTGCTTCAATGGAAAAGCAAAATGTAAGTCTTGACTATAATTACCAGTCAGCTAAGTCATAGAGCACTAGCTTTAACTTAATTGCTCAACTGTAACTGTACTCATTCCTCTGAAAGCTGCCATTGCTTCACATCTGCAGTCTAATTCTTCTTTTTATATTTAATGGTACTGGGGAATGAACCTAGGGCCTTTGCATGAGCTACACCCCCACCCCTGCCTTTTCTTGAGACAGGCTCTCACTAAGTTTCCCATGCTGAGCTTGAACTTGCAGCCTTCCTGCCTCTGCCTTCCAGAGTGCTGGGATTACGGGCATGCACCATCACATCCAGTTTGCCACCCAATTCTTACTTGCTTTAGGGTTGGACATAGCATCTTCCAAAGAGCACTGATAATCTTGATGTCCTCAGTATGGAAGATGTGTTTCCCTAAAATACTTACTTTTGGTCTGTGATACTTTTCATTAACTTTTCATGTTAAACTTACAGTGAAATTTTTCATCTTTGTTTTTTAGATTCTCTATACAATGTAATGTGTATCATAAGTAGTCAAATGAATTTGAAGAGCTACTTGCAGAAATCAGTCCCATTTCTTTGGTTTTTATATGATGTATCATTGTTGGACCTCATGAGACAGTGACCTGTATTTGGCCAAATAAGGAAATTAAAAGTTAAATGTTTTAATTTAAAACATCTTAATTCTTAAAAAGTGTATTCTGTAGGGTGTGTACTGCATAGTGAATCTTGTGTATTTGTTCTCTTGGTAGATAAGCGCGTGGAGAACTGGCCTCTCATGCAGTCGCCGTGGCCAACCCTCAGCATAAGCACCCTTTACCTCCTATTTGTGTGGCTGGGCCCCAAGTGGATGAAGGACCGGGAGCCGTTTCAAATGCGCTTTGTGCTTATCGTCTATAATTTTGGGATGGTTTTACTTAACCTTTTTATCTTCAGAGAGGTAGGTTTGCTAAGGTCACTCTGTAAGAATCCTCCAGGGTTAATGCACATTAAAAAATGAGAGACTATTAAAACATCACTGTTGAGTCTTGTACCCTGAGGTAACTATTATTTACTCTAAAAGTAAATTTTTGTAATTACAAAATTACAAAATTTTACAAAGTTATAATTTTAGAAAATTATTTTGTAAATGACATTTGCAGTTTTTGGATTGCACTAGTAGTAAACTGAAAGTATAGGCTAGTTTAAAATAGAACTTTGAATCAAAGAATGGTTTCTATGATTACTCTTACCAGCTGTTCTGACATGACATTGGAAATGAGCTTTTCTTAGCTTCATTTTTCTCATCTGTAAAACAAGGAAAATACCTGTCATCCAAAGTTAGTATCAGAGTTAAGTGAGATAATTTTTTCATGGTGTTCAGTACATATTAAATACTCAATAAACAGTAACATTTATTGATTGATTGATTGACTGAGACAGGGTCTTGCTATGTATTTCAGGCTGGCATTGAACTCACTATCTAGTTCAGGCTGGACTTGAACTCCCAGTGGTCCCCCTGCCTTAACCTCCCCATGCTGAGATTACAGGCATGTGCCACCAGACCTGGCTTGCAATTATTTATTTAAAATGTTTATTCATCAGTTTTAGTCACTGATCAAAATATGTAGATGTAAATACCAGTTTCAAGTGAAAGCCTATTATGTAATTTTATTGTAATTTGGGTTGAAACTAAAATGAGTTAACTGTTATACAACTCAGACAACTGTTGCTACTAACCATTGTATACTTTTCTGGACACCAAGAAATTCTCCATGACAGTTCAAAAAAAATCCTGGAGGCTAGATCGACACAGCCAGTTTTAAAACTGCAAGAGTAGAAGGAATTTGTTTTCTAAGAGATTTATTCATATTCTGTATGATCCGAGAACTAACTAGTGATGCTAGGAAAACTTAACAGTAACTCTTCTTTAAAAAAAATCTTTTGTCTTTCGACAGCTTAGTTTATAGAATCTTGACTTCACAAAACCTTCTTTAGATAACTTAATCTGTTAGATGTGTACCACATTGCCTCAAGACTAGAAACCAGTTAAATAGGACAGCTCTTGGACCCTAAACATGGCTATATAAATTTCTCTTAACATTATGAAATAGAGTTAATGTCTCAATCTAAGGCTTATGTTTGATTTTTAATTTAGACTGTAATTATAAAAGAAGTGATATACAATAACTGTTAGAAATCCCAGTGCCTTAAGTAGTTAATGAATTTGGAATTTTTTCAGAAAATACTGCTTTTAAAATAATTTGAAAGGATACATGTTAAATTTAGTGTTTTTAATGTTGTATCTACTGAAACTTTATCCAAGTATTATTCCTTTTTTCCAGTTATTCATGGGATCATATAATGCAGGATATAGCTATATTTGCCAGACTGTGGATTATTCTAATAATGTTAATGAGGTCAGGGTAAGTACATTAACAAACATTGTTAATTGGTCCAATGTGTTCTGGTGGTATAAGAGTGCATATATATTGGATTACTGGAAAGTAGTACTTTTAAAAAGTTCAATGTTTTATATAAAAATATTATTTTATATTTTTGGTCAAGAATAGAAATTTATAAAGAGTCTGATTCATTTAAGAAAAATCTGAGGAAAAGCAAATATTTTATGCACTGTATAAGATTTAAGGTATTAAGCATGCAGAATTTGTAATGCATAAACGTCTTCATTAAATTAGTAGAAAAATAAACCACTAGAAGTATGATGTAATATTTTATTTTCCAATCACAGTGGTAAAAGCTTTTAAATTAAGTGGCAGAAATAACATATTATCTTACCTTATTAATTAGTGAACTGTTCTTGTACACCGTGGTTCATATGAAAAATTACATGTAACATAAAGCATGCATGTGTTGTATGCTTTATGTTATATGTAAAACATGTAGCAGTAATGTATCTTTCATTGAGAAAAATAGCTTTCTGGCTTGAGTTTAGACAGTACAAATATCACTACTCATCAAGATGCAGACCATATTTCTTTAATGTACTGTTTCTGCCCATATCTTCAGAAATGAAAAGTTATCCCTTTAGTGGTCGTGTGGGATTTATTTATTCACCACATGTATACTGAGCCTGTTTGGTGCAGACACTGCAGGGCCCCGGGGCACAGGTGGGAAGCAGAGGAGGTGGCTGCCTCCATAGAGCAGACGACAGTGGTCAGGAGAACAGAGCTGGTGATGTGACTGAGGGGATTCGAAAGCACTTAATGTAGATTTGCTGGGTAAGGTTTTGCTCTCCACATTCTCCTGCAGTCTCCTCAGTGAGAGCCGACCTCTTGCTTGTTTGGAAAGAGCGGAAGGAGAGATGTCTGACTTGTGTTTTGCTGAGAGTGTACTTGGAAAAGGCAGTGTACTAATATTTCCAGGATAAAGATTCACAATTAGGACTCTGTGAATTACAAAACTACCCCCAACATTTTAAGTAAAAAAAACACCTATTGTGCGAGTTGTTATTCTTGAGGTGAAAGAATCTGAGATTTGCAACAGATTGCACTGGGAGACTTCCTCTCCCTCCCTCTCCTCTCTAATAGTGGATGCAGTAGAATGAATATTGTATCAAAGCAAACATTTTCATATTCATTACTATGTAGCTCAGGAGTGTCAATTTTCTCACTATTCAAAGGGATCCAGTGCAATTTAACACTAAGGAGAATTACTTATTAGAGGGAAATTGTGGCTAGTTTAGAGGCCTACATGGAGGAAAAATAAGACATATATCTCTTGCATCTTAGATAAAATTTACTATGCCAAGATGGTTTTCATTACTTTATTTACTAATTAACTAAACATAATTGTAATGTTAATTAGTGTTGGGTGTTCAAGCCTATTTAAGGGTTTTAAGCCTATTTTCGACCAATTTTGTCACTTTCAACATTGTCCAAAACATTTCAGTAAATGATTCTCAAGAAATTTATAAATACATGACTTTCAAAAAATTTGCTCTTTCTCTTCCACTTTGTCTGTGTTTTAAAATTATAACTGGGGGGGCATTTATTCTGTTTTATGGACTGAATTGTTGCCTAATTGTGAATTCAAATGAAAGCCAAAGGCTGGGGCTCAGTGGCAGAGCATGTGTGTAGCATGCCCGGTGCTCTGTGTTCAGCCCCTGACCCACAAACAAACAGTGATTTTCCTTTTCAAATGCAAAAATAAAAATCTTAGGACATCGACTATGAAGATACAAAATGAGGAAAGGATCTTTCAACTCTACAACACCTAAAGCTGTCTGTGAATGAATCTGTCTAGTCTCCAATGCACACAATTATAAGTAGATTTGTTATGTACTGTATTATTATTTTTACATAGGACATTTAGAATATTTGATATGGAGAAGTTAGGTTTCAATTACTGTTACAGTAAGATTCTTGTAAAATACCTTACACTGTATATACACACACACACACATACACACACACACACAGAGGTCACCTCTTACTGGATCCTTAATCTCAGCATGTAGTGTAATCTTTCTGCACCATCTGGTGTCTTACTTAGAGCCCACAAAAATACTTATGCATGTAAACAGGATTATATTTATGACCTAGGAAGTAATTTTTGCTTTTGTTTGTTCTTTTTATCATTTGAAGGACTTTGCCATCTAATATAAACGGCCATGATTTGATACTTACTTTGTTGTACATGTGGAAGTGAGACACTGAACAAGACCAGTTGTATAAATTTACTGTAAATTCATCAGAGATATTATGTAGGCTGTGCACGAACGCCTGACATGTCTTTACAAAGTAAACATTTTTGTTTCTCTACCAGGTTGAAAGGCATAGCAGTGTGAATATGTTTATATCTCTGTATTCAGCAGTTTGACACTGTGTGACATCCACTAGTTAATTGACTGACTTTTCTCTAGATTATTGGCACTGAAAGACTGCAACTTTCATTCTTCCCCTTTGTACCCTATAGATGTTTAGGACCTACCTAGACACAGATGATTCTATGCCTTGAGTGTTTCGTGTAATGTATTTTAGAGTTGTTAACAGTGAGTAGAAACCCAAATGAGAATGTCATTTTGGCATTTATAATGTGCTTTTCCTTCCTTGTCACAGATAGCTGCTGCTTTGTGGTGGTACTTTGTATCTAAAGGAGTGGAGTATTTGGATACAGTGTTTTTTATCCTGAGGAAGAAAAACAACCAAGTTTCTTTCTTGCATGTGTATCATCACTGCACCATGTTCACACTGTGGTGGATTGGAATTAAGTGGGTTGCGGGAGGACAAGGTGAGCATTTCAGGAGTATATCTCTGTGGGTTATTTACAGTGTGCTGGGCGGGAAGTACCAGGAGCCTGGGAATTTGACTTGGCCTATCTTTAACTAGCTTTTGTGGTTAATCGTCTCCATGTTCACTTCATTTTTTAAAAAATTTGAAGAAAGCAAAGCTTCAGCTTATCCATGACTACTTTAATATCTAAACATTTGCCCCACAGGTGTTTAGACATTAAAGTTGATGAGTATAGCCCAAATCAAAATGTGCAAAGGATGGGGAATAGTTCCAGTAGTTATGTTCCAAAGGATCCCGACATAGCTCCTCAGTCTGAAGATGTCATCTTCAGCCCAAGCCTGGCGCTCAATCCTGAGCTAATACAGACCTTAAGTGATCTTGCTGGTCTTACTTAAATGAAATCGCACATAACCTCCTTAGTGTTAGAGAGGATCTGAACTCACAGTTGCTGAGATTTCCCTTCAGTCTTTTCAGATGCCTGTAGACTAAGAATGACTCAGATAGTTGAGCTGAAAACAAACCCTGCCTCCAGTGAGTTCCCGAGGTGCAAGTCCTCAAAGCACGGTTCACCTTGTACTTTCCATTGTGATAGGGTAATTGGCACATCAGGAGTTTACACTGACGAATGAGTACTGGGGACCCAATTTTTAAAAATATATTTAAACTCGATAGTTTTAAAAAGAAAACTAGTAAATCTGACCTGACCCCTTAAATTACTTTATGGAAAAGTTCATTATTGTTATTATTGTGTCTATATTTTGCCTTAATTAATTAATATTCTGAAAAGAAAGAATGCTATTAATTTAGACTGACTGGAATATCTCTGTAGATTTATAGATACTAAATAGATTATTCTATATGTATAGTGCTGTCATGTTTTAAACTATATAGAAACCTAAGAAATAGTATTTTGTTGATATATACATTGGGATATATAATGAAAATAATGGAACATTTGTAAATTTCCTAAAAACTTTAGATGTCCAGTAATGTTTTTTCCTCCCAAGAGTAGTAGAAATAATAGGTCCTATTTACCCCACCAGAGTGTCTCATTTGAGAACTTACCACTTTGAAAGTCCTTTGCATTTGAGCAACACACATTTTTATTTACTTGGTAAAAGCTCAGATGTAAACTTTTAAAATATCTAGCTTAATTTGAGAGGTGTTTTCCTTAGTACTACTTTGTCTTTTAGTCTTTATCTGTTCTCAGGATTAAATGTTAGAAAATAATATGGATTCACTTTTAAAATCTCAGTGGTTTCTTGTCTAATAACATTTTGTGCATCTTACAATTTCCTCTGGTTTTTCTGAAGCATTTTTTGGAGCCCAGATGAATTCTTTTATCCATGTGATCATGTATTCATACTACGGACTAACTGCATTTGGCCCATGGATTCAGAAGTATCTCTGGTGGAAACGGTACCTGACCATGCTGCAGCTGGTGAGTGAAATGCTTTTGATGTTTCTCCTGATGAAATGCTTGCAGTGTTTGTATTTTATTAATTGTAATGTACTAGGCCATTGTAGACACTTCCCATTTTAAAATTAACCTCCTCTAGCTGTACCATTTGGGGCTCCTCAGTTCTAATATACCTATTCATAGGTTTGCTGAGTACAACCATTTGTTTTTATAGGGTCCTTAAAAGACCAGCCGTACCCGCTAAGAGCAGTGTTCTTTTAAAAAGTACCTGTGAAATGGATGGTTAAAGATCTTGGCTCATCACAAAGCACCTAGATACATGTATAACTAGAAAAATCACATAACGTTTTTTTAACTTAAAATTTTATTATGTGCATCTTGTCCTTCACTCTTTATTTATTCCATTTTTAAAGTTCCTGTTAACAGATCCCCTGCTCAGAATGTAAGTTGAAAAGGAGACACAGAGCCAAAGAAGGGCAGAAAGACTAGAGAATTTATTTTAATTGCCTAAATACTGTCCTTGAAGAGCAGAGCCAGATATTTTCACGTGGGGAAGAGCTCTAGTCTTTAGACCAGACAGCTTTCAGCATCTCTCCATAGCTGGATGTCTTGTACTGGCCTATAATCAAACTCAAAATCCAAAACCAACTGGTAGTTAATCTCCAAGCTTCAGAATTTATCATAATTTGCTTTAATCATAGTGTACACAGTTTTATCAGTAGAATCACATTTGGAAATACTACCCATCTCTGCTGTAAGTTGCTAAACAGATGCCTAGCCAAACAGGAAACACAGCTTTTGTGGAATGCTGGGTGTGAAGAATACATTTGTAACTAAAATGCTACAGGAGGCTCCGTCAGTTTTGTGTAAGCTGCTCATAAAGTTTGTGTAATTCACTTCTCTCAGTAATTAGTAAATAGTCCAAAGAAAATGAAGAAGTGACCGAAATCATAGAATGAACTGCCAGATGTGTTTCGTGGGAGCCTGCCCTGGTTCTTCATGAGCAACACCAGATCCAGTCACACCCTGGCCCACACCCTTTTTTTGGTGGTGCTGTTTCAAGAACCATTGTGAAACCAAAAGTTCTTAAACTTTGGATTTTTGCCATGGGAATTGTAAAAGTTGTTTAATATAAATTTCTGGCTTACCTGGAATAAATTATTTTAATAATATTTAATATAACAATATTGATAATGCTATCCTTAAAAAATAAGTTTTAATTGCCCACTCCAAACAGGATTTTGAATTTGTGTTTCCGAGCCAGAAATTCTCACAACAGCTAGTAATGTAAGTTAATCTTATAAAAAGTTAACCCTTGTTAACACCATAGGATTTATAATTCTTATAGCACAAACCATTTTATTTATACATCAGAATTTAAAATTATTTTAATCATCTCACTTTTAGCTTTTCTCCTTTTAAGAACTTTTAAAATTGAAGGTAATTCTTTTTTTTGCATTTACTTGGAAATATCAATGAAGTTTTATCAGAATATTAAAGAATAGTGTTCATTCAAAGGCAAGTTTGCCAGTCTCCGTCTGTAAGAAATGAAAAATAAGCCATTTTCATAAGTTCCTTTTTGAAGTGTATGTGCCTGCTTGCTGGCAATGTGGTACAAAATAATCCATCTAAAATGAGGAAGGCAAAGCAAAGCTGAAGACCCTGCCATGCCGCTGCTTTCCTTCCATCAGACAACTTTAGTCCACAAATACTCAGAGAGTCCACACTATTTGATGGCCCATGACTCGAGGATCATCAGTGAGCACGACTGCCGTGCTTTCTGGAGTTACGTTCTAAAAGAAAGGTAAACCATGAAGAAGTCAATAGATACAAAAGACAACTTTCAGATAATTTTTATCTCTCTCTCTCTCTCTCACACACACACACACCCCTTGTGGTTAAGGGATTGAAGTCAAGAGGAAGCCCTTGCTGAGCAGGTGGCATTTGAATGAGATGCCACCAGATAACTTTTAAACTTTGTGAACAGCGTGACAGAACTTGGGCCTTTCATAGCTAGGTGTAGAAGACTCTGCTGTTGTCATTGAAGTTGCTCACTGTTCAGATTAAATTTTTTTTCAGGTTCAGTTCCATGTGACCATTGGGCACACAGCACTATCTCTCTACACGGATTGTCCTTTCCCCAAATGGATGCACTGGGCCCTGATTGCCTATGCAATCAGCTTCATCTTCCTCTTCCTCAACTTCTATACACGGACATACAATGAGCCTGAGAAAACAAAAACTGGAAAAGCAGCCATGAATGGTATTTCAGCAAATGGTGTGAACAAGTCAGAAAAACAGCTAGTGGTAGAAAATGGAAAAAACTACAAAAATGGAAAACCAAAAGGAGAGTAAATTGAACTGGGCCTCAACTGTTGGTAACAGTAAGGAAACTCCTATGTCATATAAAATTTCAGGGAAAACAGAAGAAGGAAAGGAGGGTTTGGGGTGGGGAGAAAGGCAAATGTGCTTCATGTACTGGTAACCTTTAGACTGAGTCAAGTGTTAACTACAATACCCAGATGTTTTATTTATGAAGTTTTTATTTTAAACCGTTTTTTAAAATTAACCTTGATGTTGTCCAGACCAAAGCCATCATCATGTGACTTTGGAGACTCCTTCTATTCATGTCCACTTGCTGATTAAGCAGAAGTTTTTATGTATCTTATGTGCACCCGTCCTTCAGTCAGAATTTTAGGTGATCACACATACACGATCTTCATGAATTTTTTGACTAGATTACCAATTACTTTAGCTGATTAAAATCAGTTACCTTACATTTTCTTGTCCAAAGCTGTAAACGGGGTACATTAAACTTTGCACATTTGAATTCATTTGTTGACTGAATGGTCAAATCTCTCCACCTCTAGTCAGAATATATACTTTTGGTTGTAATTAAATTAAAAAATCTGCTCATCTCTGTAGAATCTTAGAGGCTTGATGATGATGGTGTTGGTGAAAATAGGGAAGAATTACAGTACAATTCTGTGTATGACCCAAGGTCACTGAGACTCACGGCACAAATCCCTGGGGGAGACAATTTTTGTGATAAAAAGACAGCCTTTGAATGCTCCTATTTGTAGCAGAAATGCATTACGAAAGTTAAGATGATTGTCTGATTGAAACATGAAACAGCTCATGTCTTCGTTAGTAACATCATCAGATAGTTACATCTGTGTGCTGTTGGAAGAAAGTATGTTGATTTTTATCAGGCTTTCCTTGTTTTGATTTGTGGCTGTTACTGGTTTTTTCATATGTGGAAATATACCTACCTCTTCTGCTGGAAAGAACATTTAAAATGAAATAAATTTGATTAAAAAATCAAGGAATCCGCTAATGTAAATTTTAATTTTCACTTGTGAGTCCACTAATATTTTTTGGCTTTTTTACAGATAGCGTACACCAAACATTTCTGTGAAACTATCCCTCTCTTTCAACATGTTTAATTTGGGGAGTGATATTTCCCTTGTAACTAAGTTGCAGATTTGTATTTATTACCTAGGTATGAAGTATAAGCCCATTTTGGTACAATGTGCTTGACTCCTTGGTGCTAAGGATTGTTAAGTTCAGTGCTTGATGCTACAAGGTGTTAATTGTTAAACACAAAGTGAATAAAAGCATTTTATTCAGAACAGTCAAGTCAGAACAATCAAGTTAAATTTGCTATTTACAAACGTATTTTGTGTAAAAAAAATGAACAACTGGAAATAAACAGGGAAGGAGAACATGTACCATGTTTTATTACATAGATTAATTTCTTAGAGAGATGTGACAGAGGAATCATTATAGAAAGAGAAAATGTGACAAAAATAGCATGACTATTTCCAAGTAAATTCGCACTTTGTCAAAACTGCATGTGTACGATGTGTGCTGTTTGTACAATCTATTTCAGAATATTTTGTAAACTATGAAATATTTATTGTGCATTAAAATTGCATATTTTCCCTGAAAGGCATGCCGTCATGAGAATTACAGAAAATCTGCAGCACATGCAATAGTTTGAGCTGAGAGGTTCTACACTCTTGTTTTTGCTCCTCAGTGTGTAATGACTAGAGATTTGTAAATCTTTGTGAACATTCTGTACTGGTTCCCAAGAGCTATTCATTCCCTGTTACCTGATTTCAGCACAATAAATATACTACTGCTGTGAGAAAATGATGTGTTTGTTTTGCTAATCAGTTCATGTAATTGTCTGCTAAATATTTATTTATATGATCAAGTTGTCAAAATTCTAAATTCTTTTCTGCCACCATTTTCTTATGAAGGAGAGGGCTTAGCTTTGGGCCTCCTTCTGCTGGTCAGTGGAGCAGCAAAGCTGAGAGGCAGGCGCCTGGAGGCGAGCCGCCGTGTGCAGGAGTAGGTAGGGTGCTTGAGCAATAACCGTGGAACCCGATGAAGGACATCACTCATCCGCTCCTCAGCGTGCCAGCAGTTTTAACGGGTGACCTTGGAAAGGGTCTTAATACTGGTATCCGTGTTCAGTCTTTGGCATTCTGAGCAATGATTTTTGAAGACATGGGTAGTTGTGAAAAGGCAAAGTAGCACTGCAAATCATATAGTAGAAGATGGCTTTCCTAATATGTATCACAGAGGGAAGGCACACATGTGAATGGAAAGGCACAGATTATTTTGAATTTGTTTTTAGTAGGATGCAGTGAATCCTGATTTAAATTCAAAGACCTGAATTAAAAATAATGACATAGTGGCCGGGGTGTAGCTCAGTAGCACAGCACTTGCATAGCTTCCCAAGGTCCTGTTCATCCCCAGCATCATTACAAAACAAAATAAAAACTGATGTGTAAAACCACTTCCACATGAGAATGGTTCAGATTCCAGAATCTGAACCCCAGGAGCCCTGCAGATTATCAAGGAGGTGGGCCATGGCTGTCTTCAGATGATTAACATCATATGTAAGTGGGCAAGCAGTAACCTGATTTACCCATTTTCTTTCAGACTTACAGATTTAGGTTTTGTCATATCCTATGAGAAATTAGACCTTTTTTTGCTGTTTATAAACCAAAACTTACAGTTTTTGTTGTTTTTAATCTTTTTCATTGTACCACATAAAGGCATGCTTGCAGATCCACATACAAACACATTTTCCTTCATATCTTTGCTTCTTGGAGACTCATTTTGTTTCAAATAGAAACTGAACTTAGATGTATTGATTTTTCCACCATTATCATACTCGGGATTTTCCCTGGGAATGTGTTCTTAAACTAGTGTCTCTCTTGAAACTAAGGCATGCTGAGACACATCACGTGATATCTATCTAATTATATAATGCAGCTATCAGGAGGTCCTAATGTATTTAAACATCTACACAGAGAATATGTCCAAATTAAAGGCCTCCCTAAGCATCTTGGGAGGTTTGATAACAGCTGTTTCTAAAAAGGGTTTCAGTATTCTTTCCCTACTTAGATACAGTACTGTGAGTTTAACACAATACCATCTCATTAGACTAAGCACAGTGTGGTTACTTCATCAGTCTCTAGATACCCTTGAATTTTTTTTTTTTTTTTTTTGCAATTTTAGAGAACCATGTTAGATAAGTTCTTTTTTCCATTTTTGATGTTTTTCTTTGTATTTGCCATGGAGAAATACTTTATTTGTCATCCATGATACAACTGAGTTTATCCTCCTTGTGAGGAATTCTAAGTACCAGTCTCTCAAGAATAATGATGACCTAACTATTGAGATGGATAGATTGAGTGTTACATTACAGTGTTAGCAAGAGTCTTGCTTTACCTCGGAGTGTTATTTAATTTCGTGGATCTAGGGATCCTGTGCAACATTTACATATTTATAAGCATATAGAGAATGAACTATTCATACACAGTTGGTTTTCAAACATTCTGATTTTAGCTCTCACTATTGAAATTTAATAAAGATGTTACATGGTCATAAAATAGATTGTTGCTCTTCAGATTAATACTTGATCAAATTTTTTTCACTTTGCTTGACTTATTATGGTCAGCCCTATAAAAGTGGTATCTAATCTTACCTCCAGAAAGAAAAGTAGCATGGGAACTTGTGAGGCAAAAGAAGGGCCAGATGAATTTGGAGAACAAATGTCTGATTTATCATCAGAGTTGAGATTTGGAGTTTTACATCCCAGAGGTCTAACCTAAATTTTGACTACTTCAGAAATCCAGCACCATCTTAAAGTTACTGTGCAAGACTTTTACTGACATGAGAGACCCATTCCCATTTTCCAGGTATACTCAGTCTCTCCTCTCCTGCAGTGTAACAGAAATGGGAATTAAATTTTAAATTTCACAGACTGTATTGTGATTTTCACAAATTTAATTTTTGTCAACATGAGGCAATCAATTGAAATTTTAGGAAGGCAGAAGAGATGGATGCCACAGTCCTGTAGGAGTGCAATTAGACAAGTGAGTTACAGACAAAAGTGTTGGCAACAGCTGGGTTACATGTTCTACTATCCACTGATTTCCTGACTGCAGACAGTGATAAAGGTGTTAACAATTATAGAAGATGTAGTCATACACATTTGAAGTTGAAGGCTAAGCTTTGACTTAGCTGGCTTTCATTTTTCCAAGTTACTAATTTTATAAGCATCTAATCCTTTGAGTTAAGAGTTGTGCTGCTTCAAGTAGCTTGAGTGGTATCTATTTCACTTACTGAACATTATCTAACTCACCATTCAGCACAAAAATATGATAAAGAAAGCCTCTGAAAGATAATATGGGATTGGTTATGTGACTTTGAGTTTTTAGGTAGGTCTGTTCATGATCAGTGAGAAATACAATTGTATACTGTTCCAGGAAGCAAATGGCTAGGATGGAATGGCTATTAAGAACGAGATGTTTGGCCAAGAGGTTGCTGTGGAACATTGTGATACAGATTAGGAATGTAAGACTTGAGTGACAAGGCTGCCTCTGACTGCACTGCAAAGCTTCCAAGAAGTAAGCTAGCTCACTTTTAAGTTTAAAGCAAGGGACAAAGCTAGCTCACTTGGTTTAAAGCAAGGGACAAAGGAGCTTTCATCACTGCCCTAGCAGCTTCCCTGAGAGAAGTGAGCTCTGTGACTACCTTATGGGGCTCTATTGTATTTCATACCTGTACAACTGAAATGTCTTCAAACAAGATCCAGTTTTTAACTCTACGTTACAGAATTAAATTCACAGCCTCAGTATTTTCCTAAGGAAAAATTGATTGTGAAGGGTGAGACTCAAAGAATTGGAATGAGGATACTTCGATAGACTTGGATGAGTCTGAGAACCTGAATATCTAAATATGGAACATTCTGGACCAAGAAAAGCAGTCTTTCCTCTTGCATAAAATGATGTTAGTCTTTTGTTGCTTAGGATTCCATAGTGACCTCAACCGAGGTAGTAACCTACCAAGGGGATGCTAGTCCTTCCTATGCCTGTGATAGTTATACTACTTGATTGGCTTGGGACCTCCTAGGGCAGTGGTGATGAACATACAGCACACATGCCACAGCTGGTTGTTCTCACTGAAAGCTCTAAAAGGTTCGCCATCACTGACCTAGGGGATTAGTAAAACACTTTTGGGTGTGTCTAGGTGGGTCATGGGGTTGTGACCTTGGGGTCTATATTTGGCTCCTCATCGCTTTCTCTGTGTTCCTTTGCTGCTTCCTGGCCACTGTGAGGTAAGCAGCATTCCTCTGCCAAAACTGATGTTCCTGTCTTGGAGCCAGGGGACCATGGATTGAATTCTCAGAAACTGTGAGCATATAAACCATTTTCTCTTTAAAAATGTGAGTCAGTTATTTGGCTTCAGCAACAGGAAAGCTGACCAATACAGCCTGCCTGCTATTGTTTAAATGCTATCAGCTCTATGAGGCAAATTATTTGTTTTTATTTAAATTTTTAATTTTTTTTGCAACCATTCTATGTTGCCCATACTGGCTTCAAACTCCTGGGCTCAAGGGATATGAATAGCTGGGACTATGGACGCATGGCCACCATGGCTTACTTCTTTTTTTTTTTTTTTTTTGGTTTTTTGGTTTTTTGGTTTTTCTCCAGTACCAGGAACTGAACTCACGACCTTGCGCTTGCCAGGCAGGTGCTTTTGCCGCTGAGCTAAATCCCCAGCCCCTATGGCTTACTTCTATAAAAAGAATTATATTACTGAATGCCACAGGGGACAAACAGAAAAATCTATCCACCAAAGAGTGTGGATGAGAGGACTTGGCTAATTTTCATCTGCAGTAATGTATAGGAATAGATACTCAGGGTACTAATCAAAGCAGGAATAACTTTATTAGAATGGACTGGTATTAGTGATCTAGATGTGTTACCAGAAGTTCTTAATTTGGGACTACAGCTCAACAGGGAGGGATGGATTGTCAGTTGTTTAGTAGAAACCTGGACTGAAAAGTGTCCTGTATTGAAATGAGGTATGTTACAAGTTAATTAGAATAATGTACAGGAAAGAATCAAAGGGTTTATGGAGCCAGTAATGTTGGAGAGTTATGTGTGATCCCTCACTGTTTGAGAAATACAGTGGTAAGGACCACCATTATCATTGACCAATTCTTGAGTGGTTAAATACTATATGCTGGAAGTGATGAGGGAGAGAGAGAGGAAGCTGTCTCTGAAATAGCCTCTCAAATTTTAGTGGAAATGCTGGTATCCTTGAGAGGCCAAATGGCAGCATTCATGTGTAGACAAGGCTATAGTCATAGCAGGAGAGCCAGAGTGGTTATTAGAACAGCTTAGCCTGGGGGTATCTACAGTGGTGGCTAACTTACCATGATATCCCTAGGACTGAAATAGATGTTCAACCTACTAAGGTCCTACTTGATTAGTATATGGATTCTAAGTCTGGTGAACATAGGCCTGACTTGAATTGCTCCAAAGGAGAGATACAGGTTCTCAATAGTTCCCCTACCTGATCCTGTACACAGACCCAGAGCTTCTGACAGGAAAGAAACACTGAGTTCCCTTGAGGAAATTCCCTGTAATGCTGTCACAAGAAATATCTGTGTGAACCATTTTTAATATCTTTAACCAAAAGAGAAGGGGAATAGAGTTTAGGAGGATCCTGGTACTTGGCTGATGTTGATCATTGGTTACACATCCTGGGGATTTACAGAGGCTGTGTGATGAATACAGTTCTGGCCTGGGTCCACCTCATGGTAGTTCACGGGTCCCCAAAGATAC